AGCAGCCCCGAGCCGCCCTGAGGAGTAGCTGTCTCCACCCTGAGCTGGGCCGGGCTCCTGGGTGGCCGCCCTGCAGCCTGGGCGGCAGGTGGGCCAGAGGCCAGGCTAGGTTCCCACGCCCCCCACACAGCTACTGTCCCCCTGGGCAGAGGCGGGGCTGGAGGGCACTGCCTCTGCCCCCCCCACTGCCCTGTACCCTGGGGCTGCCAGCAGAGCCCTGGGGATGCCTGTGACAGAGACCAGCGGGCAGCGCCCAAGTCACACAGTGGCACTGCGCTGAGGGACGGCTGGGGAGGACAGTCTGAGCAGGGGCTGTCTGTCGGTCCAGAGAATCCCTCCGGACAGAAACAGCACCCAGGAGTTACACGAACCCTGCAGGTGAGGGCGTGGGGGCGCTTGTCTGAAATCATGGTCCAGGCCCACGAGCCTGCATGTGTGGAGGTGTGGAACGGGAGCCAGTGTGTGCGTGTGTGTGTGTGTGTGCATGCACAGACACAGAAAAGAACCTGTGTAACGTGTGTGTGTGTGCGCATGCAAATGTGAAACAGGAACCAGTGTGTGTCTGTGTGTGTGCAAACAGGGACAATGTGTGTGTGCACTCACATGTACAGGCATGAAACAGAAAACTGTGTGTGTAGGCATGGAATGGGAACCAGTGTGTGTGTATATATGTGTGTGTGTATACACGCAGGCATGGAAAAGGAAACTGTGTGTGTGTACACACATGTTCAAGCATGAAATAGAAAACTGTGTGTGTGGGCACGTAACAGGAAGCAGCGTGTGTGTGTACACATGCACACGTACACGTATACAGGCATTAAACAGAAACCAGTGTTGTGTGAGTGTGCATGTGCAGACACGGAACAGGAACCAGAGTGTGTGTGTGTGTGTGTGTGTGCGTGTAACAGAAACCAGAGTGTGTATGTGTGTGTATGCATGCGCAGACCTGGAACAGGAACCAGTGTGTCTGTGTGCGTGCCAGCACAAAACAGGAATCAGTGCATGTATATACAGGCATGTAACAGGAACTTGTTTGTGTGTGAGTGTGCAGGTGTGGGACAGGAATCTGATGTGTATACGGACACTGGCGTGTACATACCAGGACCCCAGAAATATAACGATTATAAACTTAAACTAGCATGTTCACTGGGTGGCACACACAGGCTCTCCTGAGCAAGCGCACACATCCCTGCATGCACACAACACTTTTCTACACACATCTCGCGCACACACACTCTCCTGCATATACTCTCCTGTATATACTCTCCTGTATACACTCTCCTGCACACACACACTCTCCTGCACACAATCCTGCACACACTCTCTCCAGCGCACACACACACACACACACAAACACTCCTGCACACATACACACCACCCCAGCGGGCTGTGAGGCTGAAGTCAAGAGGTTCTGGGCGACAGGGGATGGGACGGCCAGGCCTGGCCCGAAGCGGCAGCTGGAGGGTCGGCTGCCCATCTGTGGTCCAGCCTTCGGCTCTGGGAAGCAGCAGGCAGGAAACCCGAGCTCGGGCCGCCTGTCCTCCAGCCAGCAGCTGCGCCCTGGGCAGCTGTGCGGAGACCAGAGGGAACATGAACCGGCCACGCCGCTGCGACGGGGGCAGGGCAGGGGGGTGCTGGCCCGAAAGTCACGAGACCCCACAGGCGGCAGCCCGCATGCAGCAGGCTGGGCGGGGCATCTCAGACCCTGCGGGCTCCGGGGGCAGCCTCCCAGGGCCGGTCCTGTGGGCCCTCATGGGACCAGCCACTGAGCCTGCCGCCACCCAGAGGGGCTGAAGGACAACAGACGACCTTGGCGGGACCAGCCCTCCCTGCGAAGACGGGGGGCGCCGGGCCCCACCTGAGCCCCTCTCAGAGATGCCAGAAACTCCCCCGTCCGGCAGGCGGGAGCTGCCCCTTGGGCGTTTTCTGCAGCAGCCTCCCCGCCAGGCTCCTGCCGGCAGGTGGGCAGGTGAGCGGCCGGACGCTCAGTGACAGCCTCTTTCTGGGTCACACCCACGACTCCAGCCTGCAAGGGAGGAGGGGCCCGAGGCTTCTCGCCACTGAGCTACAGAGGCCGGGGCGGGGGCCCTCACCCCATCAGACGGGGCTTCCCAACTGAATCCAAGAGCGGCCCCCCAGGACCCCCATGCCACCTGGGCACACCACAGGAAGGAGGCCTGTGAGACTGAGCTGGAGCAGCAGCACCGCCAACACTGGCCCCTGCCCCTGACTCCTGACCCCTGACCCCGGTCCCCCGCATCCCCTGCCCCCCAGACCCCCTTCCTGCAGGAAGTGCCCAGTGCCCGGCCTCCCCGGTGCTGGGCGTGTGCTGCGTGTGCAACCGGCCACACTGCAGCCACAGTCTCAGCACCACAGGAGAAGCAGGCCGGGACTGATGCCTGCAGGTACCCCACGGGGGACGGTGCGTCCCCAAGCCGTGGGGAGGGTTATTGGGGGTTATCGTTCTTTCTGCTTTGGGGCTTGGTTTGGGGCCCCACCCAGCAGTGCGCGGGACCTACTCCCGGCTCAGGACTCCGGGGTCACTCCTGGTGGGGCCCAGGGGGCCAGGATGGAACCCGGGCAAGTGCCCAACTCAGTCCCCATCGCTCTGGTCACCCCAGCCGTGGGGGTCCCGGGCCCAGACTGTCTGTCAGGAGGTGAGAGTGGGAAGAGGCAGGTGGCCTTCACCCTCTCTGCTGTGACATGGAGTAGATGGGGGGCTCAGGAAGGCAGGACGGAGCCCACGAGAGAGCGAGACGCCCCTCATGGGCTCCTAGGCCAGCCGGGGGGCCTGGTTCCGGCAGCCCCAGCCAGCAGCTTTGGGGTGTGCAGTGAACAGAGGGAGCCCCGGGGTGGCTACATGAGGGACACACAGTACAGCCCAGCGCCGCCCCCAATCCCCCCCCCCCCCCGCCTCATTCCCTCCAGCCCACACATCCTGAGTGACCCAGAGGGGCCCGCCAACCCCTCCCCTCCCCGATGAGGGCAGGCCTCTGGAGAGCTGTGAGCACGAGAGGGCGGGTTTGGGGCCTTCCATCCCGACCTCCCTCAGCGGGGAACTTTCCCAGCAGCTCCGCCCCATGCGACTGTCAGGTCATGGGAAAGCCCCGCCTCACCGAGGACCCTCAGGAGCACCGTGACAGGCAGAGCTGCCAGGGCCCCCAACAGCCCTTGCAAACCCGCCGACAGCCTCACGCCAGGCAGACCAACAGGATTCTCTGCAGAAACGCTGGGCCCTGGGCACCAGTTTCACACATGATTCCCCCCTCCCCCCACTGCCTGGCCACACCTGCGCACACCTGGGGCTGCAGCCTTGGCACCGCGTAGGCGCCGGCCTGCTCCCACTCCCAAATAAAGACTTTAGCTTGTCGGGGGTTGGGGGCTGGGGGGGAGGGTCACACCTGGCAGGCTCTGGGGACCATCGGGGTTGCCAGGAATTGAACCCAAGTCAGCCACGTGCAAAGCAATGCTCTACCCACTGAACAATCTCTCTGGCCTCCGAAAGTAAAGACTTTCAATGAAGCTTCTCACAGGCTCCTTTGTGGGCCCTGCAGGCACCGAGGGGCGGCAACATCTCTGCCACAGGTCACCTGCATGTTCACGGCCACAAAGGGGAGGAAGGGTCCTTCAGGCCCTCCAAGAATTGGTGACATCTCCTAGGGCACCGTTAGAAGGCCCGAGGCCCCATATCCGGATGCGCCCAGCTGCAGTGACCGGGGAAGACACCAGCCCACCACCCCGCCCAGAGGGTGGCCTGAATGTGAGGCCCAGAGCCGCCCTTTGAACCTGGGCAGTTGGCAGCTCTGCCTGACTCTGGTGCTGGTGGAAAACATGCCCGCTGAGCCAGAGGGTTCCAAGCCAGACTGGGCCCCCCTCCTTCCCAGAAAAGAAAACCGCTGGTGCCCCAGAAACGTGCCTTCTTGAAGCACACACACAAGTCCCGCCCCCCACTGCTGTTAATGGCCCCAGAACCCTTCTGTGCGCTCAGGGCAGCCCTGTCGCCCGTGGGAAACTGTCTGGGCCAGGCCGTGGGTGTGGGCAGCAAGACCACTGCGGCCCAGAGAATCCCTGGGGCCCAGGGTTCTGGGGTATTTTGGGATGTTTCGATTTGGCCTCTGCAAGCTAAACATTTCCCTCATTCCTTTCTGGTTATCGAGCTGAGAAGTGTTCCAGTTTACTTGTAAAAACCCTGTCCCAGGATTTAAAAGAAAACAGTCACTGAAGTCAGCTGACCACCAGGAAGGGGGGGGGGGGGTCTCTGCTCAGCCCCGGGCAACCTGTCCACACTCAACCTCTGCCTCCTGCTGCCCACCGAGGACAGCCACCGGGCATCCCTCTCTGGGAGCCCCCACCTAGTCCCCTCTGCGGGTCTGTGAACAGACTGACCAGCGGCCTTCCCTGGAGGGGGGGTGCAGGCAGGGGGATGCCCTCCACGGGCACCTTCCTTCCCTTCCACCAGTGCATTCCACGCAAGAAACACGCTCAGGGGCCCAAGAGACGGACAGCCGGGAGGGCGTTTGCCTGGCACGCGGCCCACCCTGGTTTGATCCCCGGCATCCCGTAGGGTCCCCCGCGCACCCGCAGGAGAGATTCCTGCGCACAGAGCCAGGAGGAACCCCTGAGCAGAGCCGGATGTGACCCAAAAAAGCAAAAAAAAAAAATTTTTTTTTTTTTTTAAAGAAACACGGTCAGCACTGGCTTTCGCTCAGAAGCAGCCTGTCTGCCGGGCCGGGATCGGCGGGGGTCCGTCCTGGCGACGTCTGCGCCAGGCATCGCCCGAGCCCACGCCGCTCCCTAACTGGGGGTGCGCCGGGGCTGCGGGCGCGGGGGACGACGCGAGCCCGGGCGGCGCGGGGTCCAGCTGCCGGCGGGCGGCCGGCGCGGGGTCCGCGGGGACGCGGGGCCGGCGGGCGCGGCCGCGGCGCAGACAAAGCGCGGGGGGCGTCCCGGCGGGCCGCGCGCGCGAGGGTCGCGCACAAAGGAGCGCGGGCCGCACTTACTCTCTCGATGGCCCCGGGCAGCAGGCGCTCCAGCAGCCGGCACAGCACCACCCCGTCCCGCAGGGACGCCTGCAGGAAGCCCTCGGGGTCGGCGATGGTCTTCTTGGGCGACTCGAGCACGCCCAGGGTGATGAGCCACGTAACGGTCTGCTCGGCGGAATTCATCGCGGCCGCGCGCGGGGCGCCCTCCCCTCGGAGCGGCCGCGGCCCGGCCCGCTGCGCCCCCCGGCCCCCGCGCCCCCGCGCCCAGGGACCGGCCGGCCGCGGGGAGGGTCGCGCCCGGCTCGCGCGGCCCCGCGTGCGTCCTGGCCGCCTGTCAAGCGCCGGCCGCGAGCTGCACATGAACCTGCGGCGGCCGCGCGGCGCCGCCCCCGCCGCCGATGACATCACCGCGAGGGGGAGAGGGGAGCCGGGGCGCTCGGGCCCGCCCCCCCGCGCCCCCGCCCGCGCGCGCCCCGCGCCCTCGTCCCCCGCGCCCCTGCGCGCCCGGCCCCACGCGCTCCTGCGCCCCGCCCGCGCCCGGCCCAGCACCCCGCGCCCCGCGCCCCGCACCCGCACCGGCCCGGCCCCGCGCGCGCCGCCACCTGCGCGCACCCAAGGGCGCCCGCTGACCTCCAGGAGGCGACGCCCGCCCCGCACCCACGGCTCCGCGCGCCCCCGCCCCGGGAGCCCGCAGGCCGCCGCCCCGCGCCCGGGTCCGTTCGGTGGGTTTGCTCGGGCTTTGCGCGCGCCCCTTGGGCTCCTGCGCGCTTCTCCCCGATGCCCCGTTTGATGTGTGCGGGTCCGAGTTCGCGGGGTGGGGGGGCGGGGAGGGGTGCCGACCGCGACCCGTCGTCCGCGCCTCCCCGCTCCCCCGGGGGCCGCTGATTACGGAACACAGACGATAATTAAATCTGTAGCCAGATGGGTCCGCTCCGCGGAGGGACCGGCTCCCCACGGGGCCGCGCTCTCGGGTACGTGGACCCCGGGCGCTGCGCCGTCCCGCGCGCTCTCTGCCCGGGCCCCCGCAGGGACCTCCCCACGGGACCCGCGCCCGGGGACCCCGGCAAGGTCAGAGGCTGGAGGGTGCCGAGCCGGGGCGCCAAGACCTGGGGGGTTCCCGGGGCCGACCAGGGCGGGATCCCACCTCCAGCCCTGGCTCTCAAGGGCAGGCGGAGCCTTTCCAAGTCGCCTGCAGAACTGCCTGCCACAAGGGCTGGATAACAAGTAATAATAATGGTAATAAAATAACTGGGAGCCTGAGTAATAGGACAGCGGGGCAAGGCATTTGCTTGCCAGCAGCCAACCCGGGCTCCATCCCTGGCACCCCACATGGTCCCCAAGTACTGCCAGGAGTGATTCCTGAGTGCAGAGCCAGCAGTAAGCGCTGGGCCCGCTGGTGTGGGATCCCCACCCCCAAAAATCACAAAGGAGTCCGGAGAGATACTACAGCAGATAGGGTAGGGCGCTTGCCTTGCACTTCCTGACCAAGAAAGATTTTTTTAAATAACAACAACAACAAACCAAAAAACGGGGAGCTGGGATAATAGGACAGCAGCGAAGGCATTCGCTTGCCAACAGCCAACCCGGGTTCCATCCCCAGCACCCCATAGGGTCCCCCAAGCACGGCCAGTAGTGACCCCTGGACACAGAGCCAGGCGAATGTGCTGAGCACCGCTGGATGTGGCAAAAATAAATAACAATGAAAACTGGATAAATGACTAGGAGGCAGAGAGATTGCACGGTGGGAAAGCACCTGCCGGCAGGACAGATCCCTGAGCACAGAGCCAGGAGTAAGCGTGGAGTACTGCGGGGTATGGCGACCATCACAATTACCCTGTTGTTCGTCAATTTCCTTGAGCAGGCACCAGTAAGGTCTCCTTCTTCCTAGCCCTGAGATTTTAAAAGAGCCATTTCAGTGCTCTTTCAGGATTAGGAGAATGAGACCCATCATTGTTACTGGTATTTGGCATATTGAGCACGACACGGGAAGTTTGCCAGACTCTGCCGTGTGGGCAGGATACTTTTGGTAGCCTGCCAGGTTCTCCAAAGGAAAAATAAGATAATAAGATGTCACGCAGCCGCGAATGCGGCCACTTGCTTCCGGGAGCTGGGTTTTATAGTCTCTGCGTCTTGGCCATTGATAGGACCAACCTGGCGCTGGCGGCAGCTGGTGGGTGTGAGGCCTACCTACCGGAAGATGGAGGGTCTGGGTGCAGAAGGCCCAGTCCCAATCCGAGTAGGCTTGGAGACCTCAGCCCTAGGACCCGCATGCCTGGGTTCCTTTGCCAGGCGCCCACATACACAGTAATAATGGGAATTACGGCTGGAGGAGCTGGAGCCTGGCCCGCGGGTGACACCCAGCACCACGCAGTTCCCTGAGTGCCATCGGGGAGACCCCAAGCACCAAGCCAGGGATAGCCCCTGAGCACCACTGGGTGTGGCCCCAGGCCAATAAGTCAACAATGCAGTTAGGGCTTGACTCGGAGGCAAAGCATCGCCTGGTGGGGGTGAGCACTTGAGTTTGACCCCTGTCTCCACTGCACACTGCGTGAGATTTCCCCAAAGCATGGTGGTGGGGGGTGTGTGGTGGGGACTGTCAACGCTGGGAGAGGAACATCCAAAGTGAAGAAACACAATGCAAAAATAACCAAAGGCTGAGCCCGCCCTCTGCCATGGCCAGGGGCCACTGCCAGCCAGGTGCTCGTGTTTGCCTTGAGGAGGCAACGTTGCAGAGAGGCTGCGTGTATCGTGGGTCCCAGGGAAGGCAGGTTTGGGGCTCACCCCCGTGTCTGGACCCCTGCCCCAGGCCACATCCCCCCTCCCCCCTGTCCTATGCCCCGTGTTCCTCCAGCCTCAGCAGGTTCCCTTCCCGCCCGGTCACAGCCCAGCCCCAGACCCTGCCTCAGGCCCTACCTCCCCCTCCCCAGGCACAGAGCAGACCCCCAGCCCATGGTGGCCCTGGAGGCCCCTTGGCAGAAGGGCTTCCTCTGGGTGGTCAGGCCCCCAGGCTCGGCTTTCCCACCATTGGCCGCTTCCGCTCGGAGCTCCACCCATTCGACGTTCACTGGCCACAGGGGTGCCCGGACTGGGACTCGGGCTGCGGGTCCCGACCCCGGGACGGGCCTGAGTGGAGGAAGCGCTGGAAACGCACAAAAAGCCGTGATTGGGGAGGCGGACGGGCAGACACGACCCAAGGGCGACCGTGACAAACGGCCCCGTCCCCTGCCACTGGCGAGGCCGCGGGCTGCCAGGCCAGACCACGCAGGGACTGAGTGTAGGAATCCACGTCCTTGGGGGGACCCCTGACCTGTCCCAGTTTGCCTTCCATGAGGACCTCCACCACGATGTGACCCCACATGGCTGGTCACGGTGGGAACAGGGGCTCTTGGGATCTGACCCCACACGGTCGGTCACGGTGGGAGCCGGGGCACACACACGCACGGGCTGCAGATCACCCACAGTGTGGCCTTTGCGCACCCTGAGCACCCTGTCTGGAGCACGGTGCAGAGGGCAGGCTGAGCGGGCTCCATGCGGTCCACAGAATCCTCTCGGATGTGGCCCCTGGCCCCGCGGCTCTGATGTGGTCCCATAAAGTCAGAGGCCTGCCTCTCCGCGGGGCATCAGCATAACGGAGCCCCGGGCCTGTTGCCACATGCAGAGCCACGGCAGCTCGAACCCTGCAGAAGGCCCTCAACTGCAGGCCTCTGAGCCTGGCGTGGGGCTCTGTCAGCACCGGTCCGCAGGCCACACACACTTGGTAGGTCTGCAGCCCGTTTATGCCGCACAGCCCTGAATGCAGGCCCCAACAGTCAAAAGCTTCTGAGTACCTTGGGACCGAAACTGGATTCAGACTCACACACAGTGGAAACCTGAGCAGCCTGGAGTGCCTGGCTGTGCTGCGTCTGTCCTGCAGGGGGAAGCTTGCCGGGCCTGTGGCTTCCCAGGCCACTGCCAGGCCTAGGCCTAGGCACTCACGGCACGCAGGGGCCTGGCGGGCTGGGGCTGAGGCATCCGGCCTGTGCGCTATCCCAGCTCCTGAGTGCGCGGCGTTGGGAGCTGCACTGGTGCATCCCTGCGTGTCCCCTCTTTCTCAGCCTCTCTCTGGCTGGGAGACCCTTCCCTTGCCCCTGGCACCTGTCAGGGCAGGGGGACTCCTCAGGCCACCCTCCACAGCACCCTCCTCACATGCCCGCCCTTCAGGACCCTGCTCCCCAGCCTTCCTGGTGGGAACGGCTACTCACGGACACTAGACTGCGTGGGACCGGGCGCAGGAGCAGGGTCCTACCTCCCTCTGCATCCGACCTGCACCCTGTCCCGTGGCCCACATCAGAGCCCCGTCGGGGAGACTGGTCCTGCCCGCACAGCACACCCCTCCCCCCAGCGCACACTCATGGCCTGCCCTGCAGTCCTGCCGCCGGAGAGAACGTGGATGGAACCAGGGGCACCTGCTCCGACACCAGGGAGACGCCGGCATGTGGGAGACAGAGAAGCAGAATAGACGGTCCAGCAGAACAGGAAGCACAGTCAGAACCCAGACGCGGGCAGGGGTGCTGGGCACAGGGTGCAGGGGGTGACAGCAAGGGGCCTGCGAGGGCTCGGAGGGTGCTGTACCCCCAAACCAGCACGCGACAAATTGGAGTTAATGGCAGGTTTCTTTCCCTGCGCTCCCAAGGGACAAGTAATTTCTCTCCTGACTCTCGTCCCATCAGCTCTGTTCCTGGTGAGTGTGACCTTGGCGAGGTGGGACCCGTGCAGGTGGCCTGCTGTGCAGAGTCCCAAGGCTCCTGGGCTTCTGGGACCCAGAAGCCCCGTCCCAGCCTCACACCCTTCCCTTCCCAGGTCCTGACCTCGTGTCACTTCTGGGGGCTGGAGGGGGGGATGGGGGTGGTGTGGCCTTGCCTGCAGTCCAGCCCCAGGATGCATATGGCCCTCGGGTACCACCGGGGGTCACTCCAGAGCACAGAGCCAGGAGCAGTGTCTTAGCACCCAACTGCAGAACAGCGTCAGACCCACAGTCGGGTTTGAAATAGCAGAGTTCACACACATGCACCGGCGTTTACATGCATGCGCACAGAGTCCACAAGCATGCACACATGTGCACACACGCAGAGCTCACATACACACATGTGCACATGCAGGGTTCACATGCACACAGAGTTCACAAGTGCAGAGTTGCATGCACACATCGAGTTCACATACATGCACACGCGTACACACATGCAGGGCTCCCTGCACACAGAGTCCACATGCACGTGTGCCTGCGCACGTGCACACCACGCTTTCTTCAGCTCTTGGCCTCCTGCGCCCGGAACACAGGAGCTGAGTGCCGAGGGCCCAGCAGCCCCCACACAGCACGCGGCCCAGGGACACGGCCTGCGCGCTCCCCTGCACCCACGTGCCCCTGGTGTCCTCCAGCTCGTACCCAGAGAGTGAGCT